GCTCAGGGGGGCTTTTGTACTGGTACTCCACTGTATTGGGATGAGTCCCCCAGAGAAACCGAGTGTCCTGCAGCTTAAAGAGGATGAAGCCAGCACACACGACCACTGCTGTCTGCAGGCAAGGATTTACAAAAAGAAAAACAGAATGCACTCTAAAGGGAGCAGGGATGTCCGATAAGTTCAGTCGTTGCACTGTAGAGGTGGTTTAAGTTATTGCACATGAACAAATGTGTCAAGGCGTGTGTGTGGATGAGTTATTGCACAGTGAGTGGCCTCTGCTGGGCTCCTCAGTCTGTTGGTTCTATGCCTGGGATATTATCCCCAAATTTAAAGGGATAATATGTCATGAGCTGCTCTGCTTGTGGATCATTTTATCCAGTTTTTTTTTTTAAGTAGAGGACGTGGCACTTCTCAGGTGGCTCCCTGCTTGATTAATATTTTTCTGATATTTTTGCTTCATTTTAAAAGAAGATGCATAGATTTTGATTGATCTGATGTGATGAAGGCATAAAAAGGTAATTCGAGGGTCTTTTGCCATGTTAGTTTGGTCTTTTTCAGGGATGCAGATTTTTGTTGACGTTGTTTTTTTATGTCTACCCGTAAAAACTTTGAGTTACAAACTAAATTCTTCTTGTTTTGGACTTAAATATATCCAACAGGTTTACTTATCATCCTGTTTGTTATGATGGCACTGACCATGGGCTGCTGTCTGATGAATTAATGAAAATCTCCCGGACGCGGAGCACTTTTAGACTCCACCAGCGCAGGTGTTGGGCCGCCTCCGTCCTCCTGCCCCCCTGATGGTTGAGCAGAGGTGGGAGCTCTGCCAGAATCCTAATCCACACTCCGAGGATTACTTGACGTGTGCATGCTAAACCAAAGCCATCACAGGGTGAGAGGGAATGGGAAAGGCAGAAAGGGAAAGGCTGTGTGAAAATAACAAACTTACGAAATACACGCGGCGAACCAGCTGGCTGGGAGCAGGATGGAAAAAGTGATGACAAAAAAAACAAAAAAAAACACGAGGGATTTTTTTTAAAAAGGGAGTGGTCGGCGTGTTTAGAGTACCTCCATCTATCATACACGTGCCTGTGTGTGCTCTGTGTGACACAGAATAGGTTTTTACAGAATACATATTTAACAGCTAAAGTGCTTTAGTGTTTTTGGAAAAGAGCCAGTTGAAGTCAGATTTAAGAGGCCGTTAAATCATCAGACAGATAAAGACTTCCAGGCTCTGGTAAAGAGTTATTTCTTAACTGAAGACTAGCATAACATGAAGACGTTAACTGTAAGACATTTGAATGCATCTATCACCCATGGATCACTGATTTTTACTCAGTGGGATATGAAATGCTGTTGTGCATGTTGGCAGAAGAAGACGTCGTATCCAATCTCTTCCCACAAAGTTGGAGAGCATGGAATTGTCCAAAAGCTTTTGGTATGCTGAAGCATTCAGAGTTCCTTTCACTAACAACCTCTGAGCTCCTGAGAGAGACCACTTCTTTCAGTTTTTGTAGAAACAGTGTGCATGCAGAGGCGCTGCATTTTATGCACCTGCGGCTATGGAAGGAATTAAACCACCTGATTTACATTTGGATGGGTGAGCAAATACTTTTGGTGATAAAGTGTAAGCTTTGTGTTGGCCTTCCATCACAAAGCTCTGACAATAAAAAGCCATGTTTTAATGGTTACAAATAGAGCTGGTGTATCATTTCAGCCTAAATTTGAACCAAAAAATGGTTGCTTGTGAGCTTCAAAACGCGTTCGTGTTTGCTGGAGCTTTTTTCTTTTTTTTAACTCATAACTCAACTCACTTGTTTTTGTCACGAAAGGGGAGGCCTTGTGTTTTCTCCCCTTTTTATTTCATTTCCAGTTGCTTCCAAGCTCATTTGGTAGATTTTCCTCCATATGTTAGATGGAGAAAATCTTTCAAAAGAATGTCACTCTAACACGTCCTGCCCATAACACTGGGGTCTTCTGTCGACTTTATTGTTTGATTTAGAGACTGAAAATGACCAGATTATTCTTATGGAAGTAATAATCCTTAAATTCTGCCTGTGATCCCCTGCAGGGGTGCGACCCTTTTGCTCAGACTCAGCGAAGCAAGCTGCAGCATCGGCGGGCTCGCATCAACCAGCAGATCAACAAGGAGATGCGAATGAGAGCTGGAGCTGAGAATCTGTTCAGGTGAGCTGCTTTTCCTCCACACTGCACTCATGATGTTCATCATTCCCCTAGAAGGGAAAAGAGGTCAAGGTATGTATGTGTCAAGTCCACTTTGATTAGCTTTGGTGGTGACCTGGTCTGATAAAGCTACTGATTTATAGTTTTATTTATTCTTATTCTTATTTACTTTTTTAGCTTTTTTCATTTTTCGTTTATTCACATCTTTTTATTTTTTATAATTTTCCTTTTTTTCCCTCCATTTTTCCTTTTTTTTTCCTTTTTCTTTTTTATGGCTTTTTTCTGTATGAGCATTCCTGAGCTGCTTAATTATAAACTCTCTGAGCCCAGCTTACACACAGTAAAGAGTGACTGAACTTGTTGTCCTAAAGGATCTAAACATCTACATTTGTATAGTTTGTATTTTCAATTGGAGTTAGATGTGGAACTGGATGTGGATAAGGTGTGAAATCAGGGCATTTGCATGTTTTTACACTTGAATGAATTGAACATGGCAAGTTTTTTTTGTTAAATCGACCAAATGTTTTACATGACAAGAAGTCATTTTGATACGAGGGCTGAATGTTTACTCCCTGTTCGCTGTAAAGTATGCAAACGTAGCATGCAACTTGTTGCTGAGCCTGGCAGCTTTCGTATTTGTGCATTCAATGGCTGCTTTATTTTTTCAAAGTTTGTGCAAAACTCCCTGAAAACACAGATGTGAAGGGCTGTGGCTGCTCCCTTTACTCATGAAGATTCAGCTGTGGAGGAGGAGACACTTAATTAAATCAAGGCCTTACTCTCTACCTCTTAAGTTTTGCAGTTTCTGAATCTAATAAGATGAGCAAAGAAGGCAGCAGTTCCTCCAATTTAAAACAAACTTGCTGTGATTCCAGGATTTTGTTTCGCCGCAACTAAATGGGATTTAAAAATATATTTCAATATGTTAAAATAACCATTGTTTAGCTTGTTGATTTATGGCAAAAAAGAGAAAGTTCCTATTCTAAACACCCACATTTGTGCCTCTGTAATGCTCCAAAATCCTGATAAATTTTTTGTCAATAGTATTTGTTAATACATAAATAAAAGTAGAAAAAAACACATAGGTTGGTTACTTTAGGTTACTTTAGGAAACAGAAAGTCTTCACATCTTGCTTCTGATGCCAATGACATTGTGTTCTTTTTCTTGTATGATTTTATTTATCTTGGCCAAAAAGTATTATAAATAATCTTACAAAAGAGGATTGAAAGCAAAGGCAAAAGCAAAGAATCAACTTTGTCAAGTTGTTTGAAAAGCTGCAGATCTGTATGATTTATGGATTTCTTTATGAAATTTAATTGTTTTGTTGAAGTTTGGATACTTTATAACATTTTAATAAAAAAATCATCATAATTTCTTAGTCAAAACAACAAAGCGGGGTTAATTACCAGAATTGCTCAGATAGTCCAAAGCATTAAGACACGTAATAGAATTTTGATGAAATTTGTCTGGATTTTGGGGAGTTTAAAGAAAAGGTGATGCATAGTGAGGCTTTAAAACAAAGCAGAGGAACACTCCTGCCATTTGGACGCTTGGCCACACAGACAAAGAGGACCCCCCCCCCCACCCCCCACCAGTCTGTAATCAGGCTTTGTGTCCACCTCCTGGCCTGTTCCCATGCAGAGATTCTCAGTGGAGTTCCAGCAAGCTCATCCCCCACTTATTTGTCTGGCAAAATCACCCTCTTGTTTTTTGTTTTTTTCGCTTTATGGACCCTCCCCCCCCTACCCAGGCCACTGCAAAACTCTCACACACACACATCAACCTCTAGCTTTTTCACTACACTCACTCTGAAACTGTTGTGGAGCGGGGTTGTTGCATGAGAGCTGGTGTGTGGGAGGCGTTCCAGGGTTCAAGATGCTAAACACACACTAAAGAGGGTTTGAACACATCAGGGTTCGTGATTGGCTGGTGAAGACGTCATGCTGCCGGCTGCTGGGTGTGTTTTTCTGAGGGGATTCAGGGATGGGACATTCATTTGTTCTATCTGGCACCCACACACACAGTTGGAAAACTATTCCGAGTTACTCAGAAAAATAGTTTTCAGCCTCTGTTGCTTTGTGTCATGATTAAAAAGAGCTGCTTTCCCCTCAAAAGCTGCTGCATGTTCTGCATGCAAGTGGGTGCGTATGAAGGGGATATTTGGCAGCCCAGTTAAAGCTGACTAATAAGATTGGCATTGGCTTGATCCTAGACATAGGTGTTCGTTTGTGGGTGTGTTAGACTAGTAAAAGGACTCATCAGTGAGGAGAGTGATAAAGAGAAAGTCTTTGAACTGGACGGATTAACATATTTTAGCTTCAGTTATGTCTTTCAAACAAGAAGAGTCAAAGTAACATCTTCATATCACTTTAATTTCTAATATCATTGAATAAAATCCACAGGTTTCACTTATTTTAACCCGATTCAGCTTCTCTTTTTCCCTCCAGTGAGCTTTGTTTGCCCAAATTACTCAGGGAGCTGTCACTAACTTAGAGAGAATATTTTAAACTCCTTACGTTTTTCAGGCTTTTTGGAGACAGTCCGCCTCTCCTGCTGAAGGCTACGAGCTCATAATGCTCATCAGGAAAAATTGCATATGCTTGCATTTTTTCATGTTTTGGTATGTTTTTATTTAAATGTTGCTCGGAATAGAAAAGAAAGAACAAGAAGACAACTTTTTGTAGAGTCATTTCTTTAGTCATAGAATTAAGATGAAAATGGGGAAAATAGGTCCTCTTAACACTTACAGTGATCTACAGCTCTGAAATAAGTGTTTTTCACTCATAATGGTGCAAAATCACCATAAATGACCATATAGATAACAATAAAAGCTGAGAAAAATGAAACTTGAACAAGGGCAGTTACTTTGTTTTTTCATGGTGAATGCTTAGTCACAGATATCGTGTGTCAACTTTAAAATAAGCCGTAAGGGATGTACACTAAGATCAATGCTAATGAATCAACAGCTCATCCAACCGAAGGCCAGACAGACAGGCAACAGAAAAGAAAAAAGCCGCAGTTCTGAATCAATAAAAGACAGTCGACATGCTTGCTGTTGTCTGACTCTGACGGGGAACCCCAAACACTGAATTCGACATTGCCCCTCACAGCCATGCTGACGTAGAGCGTGCAGGATAGTTTGTGGGTTGGACACTGTTTTATATAAGAAACTAAAGGGAAAATGACATAGCAGAAAGTAAAAGGCTCGTGGGCCTATCTTTAGGCTATGTGCAAAGCACAGCCCCTGTATTGAAAGCCGCCATATTGGATCAAGCTTTTCCTACAGAGAGCTGGTCATGTAGCATATTAAATAAGTCGTGAACTGTCTCAGAAGTCGATTCTGGTAATCAGATTTGCAACATCTGGGAAAGTTGTACGTGATGCCCAGCTGTCTGAAATGTTCAGCACCAGGGACAGCACACTGAACCTGGAGATTTTGCCAATCTGATAGAAAAGTGGTTTGATCCCTTGTTTGACATCAATGCTACAGAACTGAGTAAAGGTTTTTGAGAGGGTAGGTCCTGTGATCTATTGTATTTGGCAAATAAAATGAACATAAGTTAAGCATGATGTCATAAGTAGGTTTGTTAATTTACCATTAAGGTACTTAATTAGAATGCCTTTATGGTTATGTTTTATGTTATTTTACCCATTGAAAACACAGCTACTTGGCTTGATGCATGTTTATGCTTAATACTGGTTACCTGGTATTTTGGTAATTTTAATCAGATTTTTTTTATTTAAGTCTGCTTTCCAACCAAACCAAACATAAAACTGAAAATGGAATAGTGTATATATACACAGTATAAGTCAACCAGGGGGGTTTGTGACCCTCAATTTGCTACAAATTTCTTTCCAGTAAATATAAAGATAGTCATTTGTGCTCTCATCTTGTGTTGAGGAAATCAAAAGGGACTTTTTCTTTGGATTTACGTAGGAAATGTGGATTAAAATACAGAAAAAATGTGGTTTTAACAGAGGGATTATACAAATAAGCTTATCACGTCAGACAGATGAGAAGCAAAGGCCGTGTGATCAAAGTGGTGAATAAGAGTTTGTGTCTTCGGCTGTGTTATGAATTATGAGGAACCAAAATGTTCTCTTTTGATTTCTGTCAGGGTTTTGGAGTCATTATTATGGTCACCCAGTCTGAGCTTTTTGTTATCATTGCATCATTACCATAAATTCCTCAGTCACCATGGCAACACAGTGATGCCTCAGACTTCCAGGAACAGCAGCGTCAGCTGGCTTTGGTCAGCACAAAGTCCCTCCCCCTCTGTTTGCGGGAGGGTTAGGGAGATTTGGCATGACTTGACAGTGGATGGAGGAGGGGTCTGTGCAGGGTCTGCATGAATTAAAGCCAAACTATAAGTCAGTCACCAAATGTCTTTTGGTCAAGAAAATACAAAACTTTTAATGTAAATTAACTATTACAAATTTTCTGAATAAGTTGTCAGGCACATTGTTTTGATTATGACACATGTCTGAGTGGCTGTCTTATACACTGCTGACATCAGAATCACATTGGAGAATTATCCCTACATTTGACATTGGAAGGCCATTTTTTTATGTTGCATTGCTAAATTGACCCCAGATTTGATATTGGATATTCATTGTCTTAGGTGTTTGGTACTTTACCCAATAACTTTAGAAATCCTGTGTATGTATACTTGAAAATGGCTTACTCAAACTGCCCAAAGCTCAGTGTAGAACAGTCAGCTGTTACATTTACCCATATGCAGATTTAAGTAGCCCCTTCAGAATTATATTAAAAAAAAGACTTTAATGACTTACAATGAACTTCATTTTGGAAAAAGTGACTGCTGTAATTTTTATAAACGTGTTATTCTGTTATAAAGGGCAACAACCAACAACAAGGTGAAGGAAACGGTGGCTCTGGAGCTCAGCTTCGTCAACTCCAACCTGCAGCTGCTGAAAGAAGAGCTGGAGGAGCTGAACAGCAACATGGAGGTCTATCAGATGGACAGGTAGTCCTGACACAAGCACAAATACCAGTGTGTTTACTGTGTCCATTCCAGGCCACGCTCATTTGACTAATGAGAATTATAATTGGTTTTATTCTGTATGCACGCAGTGCTCTTGTCCTTTGTTCTCTTGCTCTGCTATCTGTGGGAGGACCGGTCTGTGGTGTACTTTAATTTCTCTGAAGAGTTAATTTTAAGTGTCACAGTTACACTACAGCTGCTCTACAGTTTCATGAGTGTTGACGTTTTCCTGCCCTGGTTCATGGGCAGGATAAGTCCCCTGTCTTTAACGACCCTCCTGCGTGCAGTGTGCATGTTTGTGGTAATTGTGAATGGGTGGGAGTAAATGGGGGGTGAAAGGGCCTTACGGGTTAATGCGTGGATTTAACTTTGCTCATTAGTCGGATGAAGCTCGAGGCAGAGTGGCTGGAGGGACTTAGGATGAGCAGATGGCAGGTCTGTGTTAAAAACCTGCTCGGCATCATTAGCCCTGACATGCAACTGGTAACACACAACAACTTTGTGCCTCTTCACAGCGAAGCCATCAATGTTCCCATGATCCCGCTGGGTCTAAAAGAAACCAAAGAGGTGGACTTCACTGTTCCCATCCAGGTGAGGACCGTATTCAAACACACTGCACTCTTGGAAAGAGGGCTTAATAAACCTGTGTGTTCTTTCCTTGATCTACAAGCATGTTTGTTGACCATATCATCACTTTTATGCATTTTTATAACTTCAAGCTCCAGGAACTTGAATGCTTAATGGATTTAACTGCAACAGGTTACCAGTTTAATGAGAGAAGGCAAAAAAAATTCTCAAAGGGATGCAACACTCTAAAAAGTCACAAAAGCCATGAACATTTTGTTGCAAATATTCAACTCAAAATCAACTCACAAACCCACAGCCAATTTTTACATTTTGTCCATTTCAAAAAGATGATGATTTTAATGCATCCAGGTGCCCCTATAAAGGTGAAAATGACATGTACCACTCCCCACCTGACCTGAACCCAGCTGAGAACTGGTGGGCAATTCTTAAGCAGGAGATTTGCAGTAAAGGGAAAAGTTTCCCCTCACTGAACAGTCTGGAGTCTGGAAGTTGCAGAAAGCTGAAACTGACCAAGAAACTGACCGACTCCAAGAGTCGAAGACTTTGTTTATATTTCTCACATGAACAGATAAACCACGAAAGCCGAAAACTCACTTTTACTTTGTTTAATATTCATGTTTATGGTTCATTATCATTTTTGATTTACAAGAGCACTATAGTTCATACATATAACCCTATAATTTTTTTTAATACATTTCTAATATCTCTCGGCCTGTAGATGATTCACGTGATAGATCAGTTTAGATTTTAAATCCTCAATTGTGTTGCATCTGTCTCTCTTTGTAGGATTTCATCTGTGAGCACTACGGCGAGGACAGCTCACTCTATGACAAGGAAATCAAAGAGCTCATGGAGCTCCGACAGGTCAAACCGAACAGACATCGTCCCGGTTCACTTTCAGGTCTGCTTTTTGTAGCTTTCTGTAAAAACGTGCGTGTTTTTCGTTTCCAGGCCATGCGCACACCCAGCCGTAACCAGGCTGGCCTGGAGCTGCTGATGGAGTACTACAACCAGCTCTATTATCTGGACCAGCGCTTCTTCTCTGCTCACAAGAACCTCGGTGTTCATTTCCACTGGTACATCCCTCCTTTCATAAGTAAAACACTGGATTAAGTAAAAGAATCCTACTGCATGTGGGAAGACACAGAACAAACATGCTGTTTTCCTTTTGGAAGTTCTTTTTTGAGTGGGATACAAACGCTGCAAAATACTGAGACAGGGGGTCATGTAGCATATCAAAGAAGACCAGAATTGTCTCAGAAATCAGTTGCATCAATTGGACATCTGATGTGGTTTAACATCAGCACAGAAAGTTGCAGCAACAACTGAAAAACGTTGATGTGATGCACAGGGTCCCCATTGGAAAATATGGCCTTGATCCGACTTGATAACTTTTGGAATCACAAGAGATGTTTCAAATATAATGCAGTTTATTCCTAAGAAAATTCTGATCCTCTTTGATATTCTACGTGACCACTTTCTCAGTGGAAAAACCTCATGGCAGCTCTCAAGATGGCAGTCGTGTTCTGGACAGTGTAAAAGAAAGGCCCCCTCACCCATGACCTGCTGGGGTGTTCAGATATTTCCTTTTCCTTTTAGTTTCTTATATAAAACAGTGTCCTGTGACCTTTGACTTGCCTTTATATAGTTAACAAAAACTAAATTGACCCAAAAAACCTGCTCGCTGCCCCACAGGTACGACTCTCTGACGGGCGTCCCGTCCTCACAGCGGGCGCTGGCCTTCGAGAAGGGCAGTGTGCTGTTCAACATCGGAGCCCTCTACACGCAGATCGGAGCACGGCAGGACCGCTCGGCCACGGCCGGCATCGACACCGCCATCGACGCCTTCCAGCGGGCCGCAGGTCACTCCACACGCCTGTCACCGCTTGAGAAGTTTGTCCGTGTGGCGCTTAACCCTCTCCCTCTGTCTGCAGGTGCCTTCAATTACCTAAAGGAGAACTTTTCCAACGCTCCCAGCCTGGACATGAGCGTCCCGTCTCTCAGCATGCTGGTCCGGCTGATGCTGGCTCAGGTCCAGGAGTGCGTGTTTGAGCGCATCACGCTCTTCACGCAGGGCTCGCTCTTCACCTCTCAGCTGGGCCTGGCGCAGGAAGCTGCACGGGTCAGTCAGCAGGTCCGTAACGCGGCCCGTTTGTGCGGGTCACCCCGCTCTAACGGCAGCTGTGCGCCCCCACAGGTGTCGGACGTTTACCTGCTGGTGCTGCAGACCATGACGCAGCCTGTGATGAAAGACTATGTGCCGTTTTCATGGGCGTCCATGGTTCAGGTCAAGTCTGAACACTTCCGGGCGCTGTCGCACTACTACGCCTCCGCTGCGCTCTGTGACCACACGTGTGAGTAAAACGCTCCCATATTTGCCCTGCTTTACAGTCAGGTACAGCTCTACTTGTTAGATATTAGAATCATTCATGAATTAACAGGAAATCCTCCCCTGAAAACAGACTAAATTTAATAGGCATAAATTTCTAAAGATCTGAAAATGTTTTAGAAATCGGTATGTTTTCCTCGGAAATCTGAGCTTTAAATAGGTCCATGCAAATCAACCAAAGCGTGTGCACATATTTAAGGAGCTTTTTTAAACTTTTATATCTGATTTATATACGTGAGGGTGGAGGTAAATAATCTGTGGAAAACGTTCATCTTTGGGTTTATTTTACACTTTGAGTGGTTCGAACACACATTTGCTGCTATGCAAAATCAATTTTCTCTCCATTTAGACAGTGAATATTAAAAGTATTTTTCTTTTTCTTCCCTACTAGTCCCTGCTGAGGGGGAGGGCTGCGAAGAAGCAGAGAAAGCTTTCCTGAAGTTCTATATCAGCGTTCCAGCCGGACAACCTCTCAGCCAAATCCTACAAGACCCCGAAAAAAGACGAAAGCTTGGTGAGTTTGCATTCGCCGGCAGGGACCCACACGGTAAAGAGTTTGGGCTAAAGTAATCCACATTTGTGCAAAGGTAAAGCCCACCTACGGCGAGCCGTGATCAGGCACGAGGAGGCCATGCGTGTGCACGGTTTGTGTAAGATCCTTAGGAAGATGGACATCCTGCAGGACGTGCTGTCCCTCACACACAAGCGCTCCCTGGAGAAGTACTCCGAGCTGGATCGGGAGGACGACTTTGACGAGACCGCCGAGGCTCCCGAGATCCAGTGTGAGGGACATCAGTAGTGCTAGCACGATGATTTAACAATGTCTGTGGGCGTTTCACAGCCAGTGACTCTGTGTCGGTCTGTTGGCAGCTCACACCCAGCAGAAACCAGACATCACCCCACCAAACTTCTCCACTGTCCACGTTACGGATATCTTCCAAAGACTGGTGAGCCCCACAGGGAGCAGACACACCCAGGAGGGCGACGGGGGGATCAGCCATAACATTATGACCACCTGCCTGTTACCTGTCATAGATCCTCTGACTGTCAAGAGGTGCTTAAAGAACATCCAAAGGGGCCCGGGGCCTCAGTTAAGGATCCTTTGGGCCCAGTGTATAGTCTTTTTTTTAAGGCTCACAGCCCATCAGATTTCTTTCGGGGGAGGGTTTAGAGATAAAGTGCATGCTGATTAGCCCCTTATTAAGCTGTCCGTCTGGTGTCTCCATGTTGTTTGAAAAAAAAAGGTGTGTTCCCCGAGTTACTTTCTCAATTTAGGTGGCTTACCAAGATGAAGGTCATCGTAAATTCTGCTGTTTTTTTCCCTCCATTTTAACTGCATTTTTCCTACTTTCTTTAATCAACCGTCATACTTAATTTAAACTCCCCTCAAACGATGCAGGGGCCTCTTTCGGTGTTCTGTGCCAGGGCTCGCTGGGGCCCGGTTCGTGTCATCAGCCTGCAGAAGAGAGAGGGTGGACTGGGTCTCACGCTCAGAGGAGACTCCCCAGTGCTGGTGGCTGGAGTGGTGCCTGGAGGCTGTGCAGAGGTGAGGCAACCCGTCCTAAAGGAGCCGCCATTCCAGCCTCCTTCTGCCAGACCGTTTACAAATAAACAGCTGGAGCAGAAATGGAGGAATTATCTGCCGAGGTTGATGATGCTCTGAGTGACGGGCACCCCTTTTGTAACACTCAGGAGGCGGGGCTGAGGGAGGGAGACTACATAGTGGCTGTAGATGGACAGGACTGTAAGTGGTCCAAACACGGCGAGGTGGTCCACATGCTGAAGAGCGGTGGAGACAGAGGGGTGGAGCTCAGCGTGGTCACGCTCCACTCACAGGACACTCAGGTAGGTGTGTGTTTGGGATACCGGCGGCCACATTCTGGGTGGGGCTGCGCTCACCTGTGCTCTCCAACAGATGGAGAGGAAGGCCATCATGCTGTCAAATGGCGGCGATAAAGAGAACGCCAGGCAGCGCCTGCTGGGCGCAGCTAAGGGGCAGAGCTCCGCCTCCTTATTGAACTGGAACAGGAAGAAAAAAAGGGAAGGAGGCAAGAATCTGGGAAGCACTTTCAGTTTGTCGTTCGGAAGCATCCGAGACTCCGAGGCCATGTACTGAGGTGGCCTGTAGAGGAAAGCACTCAGGGATTCATCACACCACCTCAGGAGAGGGGGGGGGGGGGCAGAGGCTGGTCAGAAGATGCAGTGAGGAGGCGGCAGCTTCAGGTAAAGATCCCCTTTGACTTCTGAACAGACTAAACTGGAAGCGCAAATATCAGAGATGGGCTCTGAAGCATTTGGAGAACTATCAGGAGGGGTCAGCCATTCTGAAGTTTCCATTAACATAGAAACGAACCAGCGGCCATCTTTACGTTCACACAAAGACTAAAGGATGCAAACGCACTAAAACAGTGTTCCCAACACTGTTCTCCTCCTCCAGCTGATTCAGATGAATGGATCAGCGCTTTCAGCTCTGCAGAGGGATGAATAAGAATTAAGTCAAGTGTCCTAGAGCTGGGAAACATAGAAAATAGTCATGGTTTTGAAAACTGAGGACCAGGGATGCTCTGATCTGACTCTCATAAACTCGCCTTCCATGTAATGGCCGATGGAATAAACGGTGGTACCGAATCCAAACCCTGGTCCCAACATGCTGCTGTGGGCCTTAAAGAAACCTAAAACTGTTAATAAGAAGCTCTTTTTGGTCTGTGAGCGATCAAATATTCTACGGTTTCAAGACAAAAAAGTCAGTGATTTACTCCATGATCAGGTCAGCAGCGCAGCTCGGATCAGAATTCCACCCCAGTGGAGAAAATGTGCTCATAAACACTGAAGGGAGTCAAGTAATGGGCCATGAGTCCAACATTTCTCTGAGAGGGGAAGATGATGGTGGCCTTATTTGTTGCTTTTTGACATAATTATTTGGATTCTGGCCCTTTACCCCAAGAGTGGACCGGCTGAAGAACCGGTGCTAAAGGTTTCACCCTGATTGTGTACGATTGCTTTCTTTTTTAAACTGTTTTGATTAACGGAATGTTTATACCACAAAAAGTGTGATGAGCCATTTAAAGACAACTTTTTAAATCAGTACCAAGCCTTGAGCCTCGGAGCAGTGAAGGTCGGGAACTTCTTAATGTTTTATGGCCCCACACCATCTGAATTAAGTGTTTTCTTGGAGAAAAAACTGATCTGAAATCAGGTGAAGCTAAAGCAGCTTATACACATTATTGAACATGTCATATGGTCTCAGTCAGAAGGTTTCTGATTCTTTCTGTTAGTGTGTTGTCTCTCTAGCTTCCTCCCACCATCCAAAAACATGCATGTTTGATGAATTAATGGCTCTAAACGAGAAAGTGAGTCTGAGTGTGAACGGACTACGGTATGGGCGATGGATGGACTATAATAAGTGTATAAGAGTGGCTCCACATTCGAATAGTAAAATGTCTGCATCAGTCTTTAATTATAACTTTAACACTCAAACATTAAATAAAATAATTCCTTTTTGTTTATAGTGAAAAGAAATATTGTGCAAATTTGATACAAATTTCAAATACAAAGACTTTTTGTCCTTTCTTTGTTCAACTCAGTCCATCCTGTATCTGACTCAAAGTTTGCCTTTATACCTGATTTCAGATCAGTTATTTGAACAAGGATTTCTTTATAATAGTCCCTCATAGATGATGAAAAGCACTTGAAGTTTGAACTGATGTTTTTGATGTAGTTTAGTCTTTTTTGATGCACTGTGACGTCCTTTGTTGATTCAGCTTTTGGTGGGGAAATATTTTGAGACTCCTGTAATTGTTCATTTTTCTAAGATTTTGATACAGCTGGAAACATATTCCTGCTCAGCTCGTTTTTCCAGGTACGGAAATCCAGGAGGAACAAAAGTGATGGCAAAAAGGAGTTTTTTTGTCTTTACAGTTTAACTTACCGCAAAGTTTGTTTTGCTCCACAACTGCAAGGTCTGAATCGTCACGTGGTTATAGCAGCTTTTAGTTCCAGAAAAATCAGGAAAGAAAAACTTAGTGAATTAAAAAAAAAAAGTTTTTGGCTGTATTTTAAGACATCTGTCATCATGTTTTTTACACCATCCCTGATCATGTTTGGGAACTTGCACTGTATGTTTAATGTACAGATCTAATAAACAGGAAAAATGAATAAAAAGAAAACGCTGCTTGTTATGGCTTCATTCAGTCAGGAAGCTCTTTAGGCCTTTTCAAAAGTGAGGACCTCTATAAAGAAGAGACCAAACCAAACAGCTACAGAGAGCCAGCTGTTCAGGTAAAAACTTCATCTGAAGGAGAAGGACACTGTGTGAGAACAGCAATGACCATGTCTGGACAGATGCTCTAAGTGGTCAAAGGGAACCATACCTTATTAAACTAAAACTACTGCTTACACACAGGTTAGACCTCATTGAGTTTTATTCTCACAGATGGGCCAAAATAATTCACACAGGATTCAAAAGTTCCAAAGTCGAAGCTTTCTGCAGACTTCTGCCCTCTGCTCGCTTCAGAAGCTGCACAGGCTGGTAACTCATTTTAGACTTAAAAAGGAAACCCACTTATGGCCCAGCCTGTAGAACCTTTAACCATTACCAGAGGTTTGGATCCCTCCAGTTTCTATAGGATTTATTCAATCTTAAATATGAGGGCTTTTAGCACCAGCTTAGTTAGCAAAGTCCCTTTGATCCAGTCTAAAGGGGAGGGAATTGCCTTCATATCATTTCCCGCAGACGGTTTTTGCTCCTTTCAGTTCGCTTTCCAGCTCTTAAACAGCCCGGGTCCAGTTCAGGAGCCCCCCGGGCTGGCCCCCGACCCCAGCCCGCTCTGCTCCAGCTCTGCTATCACCGACATGTGTTTGAAGTCTGCCGGGTGGTGGTTGAACATCTCCACCAGGCGGTACGTCTCCTGCCTCTGCGTGCCGTAGAACAGCTGCACCTGATTGGCCAAACACTGCGCCTGGTGGACGGTCTGAGGAGACGGGGGGGGCGCGGTTAAACCTACAAAACACCAGCCAGGTCAGTTCATCCTGTTCTGCCAGCTTACCACGAACTTGGGGTCCATCTCTGCCGTCATGAGCACGACGGCCTTCTCCTCCTTCAGCTCGGGGTAGTGGTAGAGGATCAGCTGACTGGGGGCGTTCTCACCCAGCATCTGGACACACAACAGAAGCTTAAGGCACCAGAAGACGCTGAAGGATGAAACAATTAATTCAGCCGGGTCTTGAGACCCGTTTAAAAGCTGAATGGTGTCAGTAACTGAAAGTAAAGTGAAGCAGAATAGGCCCCGAACTGAAACTGGACCAGGCACAGCTGGATACGGGCAGCTGCAGTTCTCCTGACAAGCCTTCCACTGTACTAGCTGGGGTTCAGGAAGTACCTGGATGTTGATGAGGGAGGTGAAGTGCAGCTCATGTCTGGACCACTGACCCACGAAGAATTCATAGCCCTCCTTCTGAGGCAGAGCGTACAGAAACTGAAGGAAAAGGCCACAAAAAGGTACTCAGAGGAGGGAAAGCTCCTTCAGGGGGGGTGCTGGATAAACTCTGGGTTCTTACCATGGGGCAGGACTTTGAGCGGTTGAAGATCACCTCATACATGTGGGACTGAAAAGAAAGAGGAGGCAGACTCTAAATCAAATAAATAATTTAGAGTTCTGCAACACTGAACATGCAAAAAATAAGAACACAAAAAAGGTTATGGAGGGCTTAGTAATAAATAACAAGCTGAAAACTAATGAATAAAAGCAGAGAACTGAAAGGCTGGGAGAGGGTAAAACTGATTTATGATTAACTCACCGGGATGACGGCGCTGATCGTGTCTTTGCTAGAATAGTATTTCATCCAAAGCTGAGAGAGGAAGGTGGAGACAGAGCAGAGATCAGAAGGGTTTTTTTTGTCTTGTGCTTGTTTTTTGCTACTTTGTTGGGTATCTTAGGTCTCTTTTTGGTAATATTCTTTGGCTTTGTAATGGTTTTATGTCTTCTGGTCAACATATGCGCCTTTTCTGTTTGTTTTGTGTCAGTTTTTTACCATTTTCAGCTAAACAGGATTTCTAGCCTAATTTCCTCTTTTCTCCCCAAATTTCAGCCAGCTCTCTGGGCTTCTTTGAGAAGTCAGAAAAGCTTCAGGCGTAACATTAAATTATTTAGGACTGACAGGAAATAAATAGAATTTGACATCTTAAATCAGATATAGTAATATTTAGTATTTTTTTCATTGATAAAAATAATTCTATTTTAGTGTTAAAGCATCGCCTGGGTTAAAGAACTTCTACATACAAGAGTCTCAGCCATTACAGGGACACACAGTTATTCTGCTGATCATTTAGGGCCCAAACCTCACACCGGGGGGACGCATTTGTTCAACTCTGTACATTACATCATATCATTATTAGTACTTATCAACTCATCTTTTATGTGTCTGTCCTCACTCACCTCTGCTATCTCCTCACTCGTCATGGCCTTGATCATCTCCAGGTTTAGGATGGAACCCAACGTCTAAAGATGACCACATTAGTCTGTTACACACCTCAGAACAAAAACCGTGTCTGTTCAACTTTTAACCGACTTAAGAGGGATGAACAGGAAAGCAGAACGAAAAAAACATTCATTTCGTCAGAGTTGAAGTCTCAGCTTGATGAGCTCACCTTGTTCTTGGTGAAGCCTCCTGATGCCCCGTCACCAGTGGTCATCTTGTCCCTTTTTTCTAGCTGCAAAGAATCCCAAACAGAGGTTAAGTCCCAGCCATCTCCCAAAGTGATCACACCTAAATGAAGCTGCAGAGCCACCACTGGAACCACACTGAAAGTCTGGTGGTTGGAGTTAACCCATAAATGTTGGAGAACTGGAGGCCTTTTCACCTGCGGAGTGGGCTGACATTCCTCAGGAGGCTGGAGTCCAGCTTTGCTCCAGGTCATGACAGCAAAAGGTAACCCTACTGAGCCCTAAATATGCCCAGCATGAAGGGGCTGAGTCATTTTCACACTACAGCTGTCTTTAAAAGTGTCATTTTGTGTTGACATAGGAGAAAAACCTGTGATGAGAGATCTAAATGACTCTGGTTGTATTTGTTTCTTGGAAAATAGCTGCTAATAAACCCAATTTGCAGACGGGGTTGAATAAATTTGATAGACACTGTGTAACTGAATAAATTCAGTCAAATTTGAGGGTCTATGGGAGTCAAGCCTGACTTGATACCCGACCTCCTGTTCCATCAGCTGGACAAACTCTGCCTGCTTGGAGTGTCCCAGAACTTCTTTCTGCGACTCATGCCGCTTCTCCAATCGGGCCTTGAACTCCTGGGGTTTGGCACTGAAATTAAATCAGAAGAAATCATTAAACATTCACATTCAGTGACATACTGTGACTGAATGAGCGCATTTATGCAATGGGCTTAAAAAAATCTATTTGCTCAAAAATCCACACGAATGTACCACTCACTTGCCAAGGTATTATACAATTGACTTTTTTTTTTTTAAACATGCACGTATAAAGCTTCACGTCGTTTAAACACTAGCCGAAATTATCCTTTGAAAGTAAAACCTAAAGTGGCATCCACTGCAATATTATCAATTGTAGGTTAATGTGTCAGCAATGATATTCATCTTAAAATAAGAAATTAGGTAATGCGGATTCGGACGAAGTTAGCCCGCTAACCTGCGCAGCTTCTGGATTTTGTCCTGGTACTTGTTGTAGTACGGGTTCTCCTCCAGGCCCGGCTCCTTCTGCACTGAGAAGGTTCGTAACTGTACCGGGACCAGTCCAGGAATCAGTGTCCTGATGCCAGTTGCCCTGACCGCTAACCTTCCCCGGTACAAACATGACATCTGTACCAAAGCCGACGCCATCTTTCCATCGCTCCCGTCCCACATCTATAATCCTCCGGTGGGGAAAGGGCGTTAGACATGATTGGTTCCGGAAAACTGCCGATTTATGAGATTATCAATGTTAAACTATTAAATCTGTAAATGATTAACATCAAATTTCTCAAAAATTGATAGTCTAAAATGGAAAATAAACAGACACGGAAGCAAAATGACCAAAACATTTAAAATGAGAACGTTGAGTTTAGATTTATCCTAATTTCTATGCCTGTATGTATGTATGTATATCAAGAAGAAATATTAAGAATATTGAAACTAAAACGTATTCAAGATTATTATAATTTAATAATATTTAAGATTTTAGAATGATTTGGCAATGGATTACTGATAATCTACATCAAATACAAACTATTGATGAAAAAATAGATAGAGAGTTAACAGAATTGGTCCACAAATAATAGATACTGCAGGTGACTGACAAACAGCATTCTCTGCTGACCATAGCAGTGTTCGAGGATCTTCAGAATGTTCTGACACAGAATGTTGTGACACATTGTGACCTTTAGAGGTCACTACAGCCTTTCTTTGAAACCTGCCCCAACAAGCTCTCCACATTTGTCTTTAACATCTGTTCGTCAAGGGCCCCCCTTCTGTCTGAACCCGGCTAAAATCTCTGGTCACTTCCTGCTCTGATATGCTCAGCATGTGTAATCCCACATTTATGTTCATTTGTGTGTGCTCACAGTCGCCACACTGGCTGTAAATTTAACGAGATGTGTGTTTTCCTGATGACTGTCTGAGTGCTTCTGTGTTTACTCTCTACGCCCAATCATTTTTCAATCTCTAATCAATACCTGAAGCAGCTGGGAGCAGTTCCAGGTCCAGATGATGCCTTCTGCATCCCGGAAAACAACGGTGATGTGATCCAGTGGGTTGCTGTATATTCCGTTGATTTGGCTCATTTAAAAAAAAAAAAAGCTTTTCTGGCTAATATTAGAGAGGATATTTGGAAACAGTGTCCTGAACGTCTCAAGGTTTTTTTGTTCTCTTCATCTCAAAATGAATTCAGAGTCACCTACTGATTGATTATTTATTCATTTTCACATAAATATTTGTTTAATTTAGATGTAAATCCACTTTTGGTGTATTTCTCTGAGCATGACTTCCACAGCTGATCAACAATAGCTTCCTTTAAATTGTTAATACACCCCAAAATATTCAGCTGCTTTTTTTCAAGGGCATCTATAACGTTTCATGGATAATATTTACCTTAAATCAGGTTTGTGAAGCACAGTAAACAAGTCCTATTAGAATTAGCTAAATGTCATGTAAAATCCAAATGAAAGAAAATATGTGCAAATAACCAATTGTGTAATTCTGATTCCTGACCATGGCAGCATTCAGGGAAAGCATCGGGAGGAGAAGTGATATGGAGCCACCTCTTAAAACCTGAAAGGAAAAAGGAGGTTGGCCGTCTTGCTTTTTTGACTCACAAACAGTTTAAAAGTCCCTTAAGTTGATACAAAGGCTTCACTAAACAGAGGAAGCAGATTCTAATTTTTTACAGTTTTATAGGCAGCCAGGCAGGTTTAGACACTGTGTGACAGAGATGGTTTAACCAAAAAAATAATAAAAAGGCATTAAAAGTGATTTTGTTTTGCAAGAACTGCAGTGTTGGACTTTTTCAGGTGTTAGTGGAGTTCCTTTTACGATTGCCAATCGGAGGAGATGGTGATGAGGGTCTAAACACAGCCCACTGAAGGAAATCAACAAAACTTTTTCTTAAAGCTTTAGTTAAGGCAACGGTCCTGGAGTCCTCTCTTTCAATGCCCCTGATGGTTTCCTGATCTGGTAAGAAAAACATGGACATCTTGCATCAAATACATGCTGGTGGCTGAATCTCTTGGTTTTTTCTTTTGAAACACAGAATTTTTACAGGTTCGGATCAAATTCTTGAGTGAGACATGTTTGTCGGTGCTTTTCAGCCTGTAAACAAGACGCCTTCCTCTGCCGTCAGACACTGTGCGCTCTCTATAATCTGCTCTGTGTTCGTCTGTTTCTTCCTCTACTCTCACGGACCCGCTGCCCCCTCCTCCTCCTCCTCTTTTTCCTCTCTGCATTCTCTGGCTCTCTTTGTTATGGGGGTCCTGCACAGAGGATGTATATTTCATGTGCGGCTCTGGAGGCTTTTACCATTAATTATAGAGACACACTAAGCTCTCCATTTGCCGGACAGATGTTATTTTTTACTTAAGGAGGGAAAGGGGACTGTTCCATAATTCAGAGGTAATCCCGCTCACCAGAGAACAAATAAATAAATGAATAAATAAAAAAAGCAAAAGCAGAAACCACAAATATTTACTGCACAACTCCTGCGTGCTCACAGATTTCCTCCGCAGTGTTCAGCCTTTAAGTGCCTTCTGTGTAATAAATATGGAACAGCTGCTTTGTCATTTCATGTCTTATTCAACCTCCTAAAAATCTTGCTTTTGTTTGGCATCAAAAACTGAACAGAAACCAGCACAGGTTAACGTTTAAAAACAGAAATCAGAAATATTTCCCATACTGCAGAATGTATCATCCTTAAAATGGATTGCACAACTGTAAAATATAATTTAATTACATTTTGTTAACATGCCAAAATATCAAATTATTTTATAATAGAAATAAAAAACACTTTTTTTACAAGGATTTTAAGAGTATGGTTGATTAAACCTGAAAACTAAAAAAGTATTTTTAGTCACTGTTGTGATGAAATGCAACTGTTTTTTATGTAACTTCCTTGATGTATTTGTGGAGTTTTATGGTTCAAATGTTTATGTAAAGGTGATTGATCGACAGCAAAACCTGCAAAGCTTCGGTTTGAATTCAAGCAGAGATCTAAGAAATACTAAAATGTTCCGAAAATCCAAAATACTATCAGTTGTGCTTGATGAAATGTGTAAACAATGACACAAGAAGTGTGAATAAATTGTTTTACCAACAATGAGGAACAGACCAGGGGAAATTTAGATTTGGGGAGGTGAAATGTCATATAACATGTCAGAATAACTGTGATTTCTTCAGTTTTGAGACCTTAACCCAATAATCTTAATTTCCCTTTTAATTGAAACGTAGAAGTCAAAGATTTGTGTTTTATCCTTTAGAAAAATAATTGACTTAATAACATAATAATAATAAAAAACATCCTGTTTAGCCAAACAGAGGAATCAAATAGTATAATGATACTTTTTTTCAGAACTGGGTAAAAACTGAGCAACTGATAAAAATTCTGTCGTGTTTTAGACAACAACTAAACATTATGAACACTGTGTGCTTCCCTGTGCTTTAATGATCCAATATTTTCTGTTATTTGAAACATTTGTATCATCAGAAGAGTAAAAAATCCCCCACTGTTTTGTCTTTAGATTATTTTTTATTGCTCAGCAGGATTTCCACATCTGTGAGCATGACGTTCTTCTTCTTCTGAGGCATTTTCTGTGGGACACTCGGGGAGAAGTTTCCCTGGTGGACAGAGCTGAGCAGCGCACACCCCAGAAGGAACGAAGATGAAGAGAACAACTTTTATCGGCACCCAGAGCTTTAGAAAAATGCTCCTGAGGATTTCCGGCTGGATTCACACCTGCTTTCACTTATCACCTGTGAACGGGACGGATTTCAGCCCCTGAAACATTTCTGGGGCTTTTCAGGTCAGCAACGCCTTCTAGAAACAATGAGGAAACTCAAATTATATCATGGCCTCTCAGATGAGAAAATTTGGCAGCCTCTGCCTCTCTGTGTTGGGCTGTAAAATTTAACTGAAGATGCTTTTCTAATGGCTCTATTATCTGCCTCTTTTTTAATAATGTGAGCAGTCAGATGAAAATGGTTCCATTTAACAGACAGCTCGGCTCTAAGAGATGATTTGCTGCGGTTTTAAAAAGGATAACACATCCGAATCACGAAGCCTTTTGCTTTAAAATCTGAAAAACCAAAATTGTTTTTTTCAGTGTGTAAAAGAGGAAATGTAACTCTTATCAACTTTTTTAATCAATATGATCAATTCTTGGAGTGAAACCGGAGCTTCTCAGGCCTCTTTGCTTATTGAATGATGATAAATGATGCAAAACAGAGCACATTTGGAATATTTTACAGACAATTGCAGCGTTTCTCGTAGCACGGCGTCTCCTCATAGCCGGAAAAAAGCAAACTCAGGTTCACCGAACGGGTGGCGCCGCCAAACAGAAAGCTCCCCTTCGTTTAAAGAGGCGCAGTGTGCTGTGGATTCATGTTCAAAGGGTCCTGCAGCCTCTCGGCGGAGCCCTGTGATGTTCCAGTCTGCCTCTCAGGCGGCTGAGTGCACAACCGGCACCAGGAGGGTTGATTTCAAACCTCAGGGTTTTGGGGGGTCTTGGGACCACTCACTTCCCCTCCCTCCGGCAAAGGGAAATCGCACCCCTGGGCCAGCGGATAACCCCCAATCCACACCCTCACACACACACACACACACACGGTTAAGCACTCACTCACACACTTGATGAAAAAAAGGTCAGGCTTGGCACAGGAACCCCATCGTTTTAGAGAGGATCCTATTAAAAGTGCATGAGTGTGTCTGTCTAGGAATCAAGACACCCGCTCTGCTGCTCAACCGATAGCTCCGCATATGTGTGTGTGTGTGTTTGTGTGTTATTTATTCATGTGCGCCGGTATTAGAGCATCTTGTGGCAGGCATCACTCAGTCTCTGTGAATGAAAGCAGAACATGCGGCTGCTCCCTGCTTGTTTGTGACCGTCACCAGGACCTCTGACCCTGGATCAGAGGCAGCCGGAGCAGATCAGACGCACGATGAGCCGAGAACAGGCGGGCGGTCTGGGAGGTGAGAGGCTCCAGGATCTGGTCTGCACCCTGAATTCATACGGCTCCCATCAGCCTGCTCCACCCGGAGAGGCAGAAGGACCTGCCGGCTTTCCTCTGGGTCAGATCTAGAATGCGATGTCTGGCTTTTCAATTAACCCTTTAAAGCCTGATCCAAGAAAAATAGGATGAATATTGGATTTTTTTTAATCTGAAGTCTGAATTCTTTGGCCCCTCAACAAAATAT